ACACCGCTGACGTGTCGCCTGGGCGGCGCCGCGACCTGGCTGCTGGCCGCCAGGAGGAAGCCCTGGGGCCGCAGCGTACGGGGGGCCGAGCCTCAGCGCTGCCTGTGCTGACCCTGCGGTCGGAGCTGTCGGGGTTTGGCCCTAGCCGTGACCTTGTGGGAGTCCAGGGCAAAGCCAGCGCCTCCTGCTCGGTGCCCGGGCCCGCGGTGCCAGGAGCCTCCTTCAGAGTCCGTGTGTCTTCCGCCCGCCCGGGCTGTGTCTTCTCGCCAGTGAAGGCCCCCGGGCCCGTGGGCAGGCCCCTCGCGGCGGCCAGGTGCTTCTCTCCCTGCCAACCACCGCGGCCGTGTCTGCCCCGCCCCTGTGCTCGCCCCTGCTTGGAGTCCACAGAACCCCCATCGCTCCCCGCAGCCCCGCTCCTTGTATGACCCCCCCACCCCCATGGGTCCCAGAGCCCGTCCCCGAGGCCCCCTACATGGCCCCCAGCCCCGGGGTTAGGCTCTGGGGGCGGATGGACGCGACTTCCCCAGCACTCGGAACCTGGGCTGGGGCTGGGCTGTGCCGTCCAGGGGGCCGCTCCCGCCCAGGAGGCCGCCCGTCTTCTGAGTGGCCGTGTGGCGTCGAGCAGGCCTGGGCTGACCTCTGTCCGTGAACTCGCCTGTTTTGGCGTTGGTTTGCCCCGCAGATCGGTATGTTGGAGGGGGGAGGCGAGCGCATGGCGTCCTCCTGGCTGGAGTGGCTGCCGGGCCCTGCTGGCCTGCCCGGGGCCGGTCACTGCACCATGGGGGCGCCGCGTGGCCACAGCCTGCTTTTGGGCGCTGCCCTGAGCGTGCCGTGGCCCAACCGGCCTGACGCCTGTGGCCGGGCGACATCCTGCCCGCCCGGGGCGAGGGTGGCTGGCGCAGCGGGGAGCCAGGCCTCTGGGCATGCGGGTGTGGGGCGTCCGACGGGGCGGACGCTGGTCTCAGCTGCGCCGGCCGGCCCTGCGTGCTCCGTGAGCCCTGCCTGCCCGCGGCAGGGCTGGGCCCCGCGTGGCTTCTGTGCCGGCTGGTCGTGCGGCCCTGGCAGCCGTGCTCAGGGCGTCAGGAGCGCCGCCCCGTGGGCTCCCCCGTGGAACTCCAGGGCGGTCCTCTCCCAGTCCTGAAGTACGCCCACGTGTGGGGCGCGTGGACACGAGGCCGCCACTCCGTCAGTGACGCTCCCGCGGCACCGGGACCCGGCCCTCCAGCCCCTGCTGTGTCCTGCCCTCGGCCAGCCCTCCCCCCCAGGGCGGTGCCGTGAGCGAGGGGGTGGCGTGGGGCGAGCGCTCACGCCTCTGTCTCCCGGTGCAGTGGTCCCCGTCATCCTGAAGGCGCTGGCCTACGACGAGAAGCGGGGCGCCTGCAGCGTGGGCGCCAACGTCCGGGACGCCGCCTGCTACGTGTGCTGGGCCTTCGCACGCGCCTACGAGCCGCAGGAGCTGGAGCCCTTCGTGGCCGCCATTTCCAGGTGGGCTGTGCTGGGCTGCGGGGAGGCCCGGGGCTCCCCGCGTGGCTGCCGAAGTCAACGTGGCCAGCCAGGGATGGGCCCCCGGACAGCCGTGCAGAGCCCGAGGGTGCGGCCGGCCCTCCGCCCTGCGGGGGGCTGATGTTGGGACGTGAGGGGGCCGCTGGCGGCCCGGGCGGGGCGCTGGGGCGCTGCTTCTCGGGGGTGTGTGCACTGGGGAGCTCTCGGGGCCTCGGCTGGGAGGCTGGGGGGTGTCAGTGCCGGGACGTCACCGAGGCAGCGTCTGGAGCCGCCTCTGAGGCTCGAGCGGCGCTGTGAGGGGCGTCGGCCGCTGGGCCCCAGTGCAGGCTCCGCTGTGCGCCCGCCCGGGCAGGCAGCTGCCGTCCATGCTGCTTCCGGGGGGCGCTGCCGGCCTGGGAGGGGCTGGGGGCCGCTCTGCCCATCTGTGCCGTGTGCTCGCTGGCCGACCTCGGGGGTCTCTTCTTCCTTAGCGCCAGAGGAGGCGTTTGCCCCTGGACGGACCCCCAGGACGGGATCCCCCAGGACAGGTGCCCCGAGGATGGGCTCCCCGGGATGGAGTCCCCAGGACGGGTGATGCTTCTGTGTGCAAACTGGCTCGACCGCTCTGCAAGCGGGGGCCCCAGGTCTGCGCAGGTCCCCAAAGACTACGGGCCGGGGGCCTGGGGGTGCGGCCCCTGCCATCACTGGGGTCCTGTCAGGGTTGTCGGGCCAGGAGGGAGGGCCCTGGCGCACAGCCTGCGATCCCAGTCTTGACGCGCTCACCAGAGCGGCCCCCAGAGCCCCAGGGCTCTGATCGAGCACTTCAGGAAGCAGCAGCGTCTGCCTCTGCCTGGTCCTGTCCACCTGGAGGGGCAGGTGGGGCAAGTGCCTCGCGGTCACGGCCACTGACCTGTGGCCAGGAGGGCTCGGGTGGCCGAGACCAGGCTCTGCCTCACCTCTGTCCCCCCAGACCCCTTCAGGGGCCCGCGGGCCAGTGGGTCTCAGTGCCTCAGCCTGCAACAGCCCAGCCTGGACAGAGCGGGGAGCGGCCCCAGCCACGGGGCAGGGCGGTGCAGGGTCTGGCTGGGCTTGATGGAGGGAGCTTGGAGCTGAGGCAGGTCACTTCTGCGCCTCTGCCCCGGGACATCGCGGGGCAGCACGGCCTGGGCCTTCACGAAGCAGCGTCTCCCACGAGCAGCGTCTCCCATGAGAAGTGCTGATGAGCCTCGGTCCACGGGGCCCCCCCGGCCTGAGAGGCAGTGGGGCTCGCTCTGGCCCTGGGTGTGGCCATCATGCAGGGAGGCCACGCCGTGGCCGTGCGCTGGGCCCTGGCCGCCATGCGGCGCTCCTGCCCGTGAGCGTCGCCTCAGGAGGTTACGCCGAGGCGCCCGAGGCACTCAGCGGCGATGGGCAGGCTGGAGGTTGCTTGCTGGCTCCTCGGGAGCGTCCCAGCCACGCGGCCCCCAGCGTGGTGTGTGGTGGGAGGTGGCAGTGGCCACCGCACTGGGCGTGGGTGTGGGCGGGGCTGCACCTGGGGTGGCCGAGGGAGGGTGACATTGGGGCATCATCTGAGGCCAAGCCACGCCCACCCGGACTCCCCTGAGGGAGCGCCCACCCCCTCCGCGTGGGCAGGGCACCGGCTTCCCTGAGCTGCGCTGGCCTGAGGGCCCAGCCACGCACCGGGAGGGCCGGCCGCGGGCCTCGAGGCCGACCTCGGCCCCGCGCCACCCAGTGGCCCGAGGGGGACCGTGCCGTCGGCCGCAGAGGCTCCTGGGCCGGCCCTCTGGTCTCGGGCAGGACTGGCGCCCCATCCTTCGGGCTTGCCGGACCCCACACAGCCCCTGCGTGGCTTCCGTTCCTTCTAATGAGCCGGGCGGAGCGGCCCCTCCTGCGCCCACCGGACCAGCCGAGCAGGTGCTCAGAGTCGGAGTCGTGGCCGCGGGCCCGAGCCGGTCTGGCCGGTTCCGAGGGAGCCGTACACAGCCCTCCCGTCCATCTGGGCCGCAGGCATGGGGGCGGGAGGGCGGGCTCGGTGAGTCACGGAGCAGGTGAGCCGCGGGACGCGCTGGCGTGCGCCTCCCTGCCCACAGTATCGGTGGGAGTGCCCTTGGCATCTGCCTCCCGGCTGGTGATGAGTGACCACGTTTTAATTGTCAGCTTTTAAGCCCACTAATCCCGGCACGTGATAAAATCTCGATACCTGCGAGTGCACTTTCACAAACTCCAGGGAGCCTGGGGGCAGCGGGGATCAAACGCCGCCGGCCGCCCCAGGCC